AGGTTGAACATTACAGCAAGGGAAAAAATTTAATGTTTTTAAGCATGTAATGTCTAGAGTAAGCTGCCAGTAAATTAAAGAAATACAAAAAAATTGTTCTCATTAATACAGCCCATACCTTACGAAGGGCTTTATCTATGTAAAATATGTGTATTATTGTTTTTTTTTTAATTGGTCAGTGGAAAATGTCATGATGCCATTTGTAACCTTAGGTCTCTGGGCGGTACCCGGAAAGAAATGTTACACACCAGAAATCAAAGGAAATAATAATAATAATAATAACAATAAACTAATTGAAGGAATTCCTGGAAGTCCATGCCTCAAAGAGATACAAAAAATTGTTCTGACAAGTACAGTCCACACTTTACGAAAGGTTTTATCTATGTAATTTTTGTTTTTTTTTGTTTTGTCAGTGGAAAGTGTCATGATGCCATTTCTAACCTTAGGTCCCTGGGCGGGACCCGGAAAGAATTGTGTAAACGCCAGAAATCAAAGAAAATAATAATAATAAGAAGAAAAAGAATGTCACATCAACAGAACTTGCGACATATTTTATCACAAACGACTGTAATGTTGACAAACATCTTAAGGTGCACAGAACCCACCGACCTTTCAACCCTTGAAATATATGAAAATAATTACATATGGAAATCATCCCCACCCCGCGGAAAAATGAACAAAATGACAGGAGAGTTCCATAAGATTTATACTAAACTATTTAATTAATTGCTTTTACTAACTGATCAACAAAAGGAACATTTCAAAATGAGAATATCCCCTTTATGTTACTCACGTTTAAGTTGCATTTCATTCACGCTAGCAGTGTTTTGTCGAGTTGATTACCAGTAAATCAATTTTTCTAAAGAAAAGCGACTTTGTAGACTTTTATTTTTTAAAATATTTTTTATACATGTATGTAATTTTTCGGCATAACTTGAAGAAGCTTGAAAACATTCTGTCGAAATATTTTTTACAATGATGTCCATCTTGTACAAAGCGAGAGAATCACTAGAGGTAGAGAGTTACAGAGTAATAGGCACAGTTTATAGGGATATGTAAAGAAGATAACGGTTAACCCTATAACTGAACAAGTTATGATTTTATTGATCGGGGAAGCATCTTCTTGAGATTCGATTTCACATGACAGTTGTTCGTGGGAACAAGCTGCTCGAGTAAAACTTACATCAATGGAATACGAAGGGAATGAAGCGGATTTTAGCCGTGCAGGTTAGAATTGACGAAACTAAGTAATGTGGTAGGCCTGAACACTTTCCATGGAAATAGAAATGGATCAGCTAGATGAGCTTGCAACGTTTCGACTGTGGGAAAGGGGTTGTAGGGTGGAAAATAATTTGTCACCCACAAGGAGGCGAAGACACTTTTGGACTTTCGCAAAACTGGAAAGCAAAGACCTGACCATATATAACAGTAGTACTCCATTTTCAGCCTGATCTGGCTCTTGTAAAAGGTAAGAGGACAGCAGGAGGTGTACTTAGTGGAGCCTACTGGCAACCGACCATTTTCCCAGCATTTTTAGCGATGTATCCGAGTTCAAGGCACAAGGTCTCTATGAGAAGACACACGATAGGCGAAAAATTCAGGGTCTTCTAGGTGATGATGGGACATCACTAGTTTGGTTTTAGAGACATTGAAGGAGAGCATCCAATACCCCCCTCCACTGAGCTGTTAAAGCTAGATCAGAGGAGAGATCAAATGCCAGGTTCTGTTCATCTGAACCTTTGTAGGTGCAGCCATCTGTTCAATATTGTTAAATATTGTCTTTTCTTTTCTTAAATGCTGCAAAATATTGGAAGGGTTACTCTATTCATCTTGTTTGTTTAATAATAATAATAACGATAATAGTAATAAAAATTGGCATCTAGGGGATGACACACTATGCATCTCTTTATTAACTGGAGTTATAGGGGAACATCTAGACGATGTTTTTTATGTTCTTTTATTCTAAGCTAGAAGGATGAGGCAGCCAAGGTGACTTAGGTGCCACATCAAGAAATTTAGAAATGCTGATTGTCGTCTGAGCGGACTGTGTTACCCAGCCTGGAGGTATTTCTAACTGGGTCCCAAGATAATATACTGACTAAAAAATTATGTGCAGCTTTTATCAAATACTTTCAACATATTGCGTATATTTGGCTGTGATGCATGTACCTGATATACACATGTAATGATGGGTACATTGGGCTTTTGTATAGTTGTACCGTCAATACCGTGTGATAATACGATACGTTATTAAAACTTATCGTATTATCATACGTATTTGGCTGTGCTGCCTTTGTCTGGTACACACTTATCAGACTGGGTGTCATGTTGAGTATTTTGACTTTTGTATATTTGCACCCCAGCGTTTATTTGTTGGCGAGCAGCTATCTCTTAGTAATGATGATAATAATTTTGTTTGAGTAAATATATTTTTGGAGAAAAGAACGTCTCAGGTAAAATTATGGTCTACAGAAATGTGTGTTGGGGATAAAATTAACTTTCGGGAGGCTTCATCTTCGCAAATAAGGCTCAGGGTGATTTTTGAGTCATTTAGAAAAGAACGCCTCTTATATGCTGTCAAATGCGGTACCTGCTTTTGCATGCTCATGCTTAGTGTGTATTGGAATGCAGACATCAGATATTTCCATGAATATTTTTACACGCTTTTATTCCAGCCTGGGTTTTCGTCTAATCAAGCAAGAAGTTATAAATTCCTATCTGTGTATGTGGGTCTGCGTGTGCGTGTGTGTACAAGCAGGAGAGATAAACAAAGAATAAAAAGAGAAAAATGTAGATAGATAGATAGATATAGACAGGTTAAGATAGATAGATAGATAGATAGATAGATATAACCAGGTTGAGATAGATAGATAGATACGAACAGATACGAACAGATAGATATATAGATAGATATGAATAGATTGCGATAGATAGACATAGATATATTTTTTTAGCATAGAACAAGTTTAGAATAGATAGATAGATATGAACAAAGTATAGATAGATAGATAGATAGATAGATAGATAGATAGTGTTTATGCGAATGAAGACAAGAAAGAGAAAATGGACGCTCATTTCGTTCATAAAGCGTATATTGCATCAGCCAATCATTTGCAAAGCTCTCTACAACGGAATCCTAAGCTTAAAGGTCTTGTTTCTATTCTTGACATCTTTTGATGGTTGGCATAAGGTGTTCTTGTCTTTGCTCTTACCTTCCAACACATTCACTAAAACATATGGTATAATCTTTCCACCATCTTTGCTAGCTACACATTTCAGCTTGTTTAATATTCTAGAGGCCACAGGATAGCGACACAATGTATAGAATAAATGAGTAGGTGAGAAACTGTCGAGTAGTAATCGTTAGCAAGCTAGTTTTACAGAGTGGAGTGAATTTGAGTCTTACTGGGTGTCACATTGATGTGTCTGTGGGCTAAGCATACCTAAGTTTTGTTAGCCCATAAAAGCCCACCACCCTAATTTTGGGGACATATAATTAGTACCGAATTGTTTATAAGACAATAATTAATACCAGAATTTTAATTTAATTTTTTATTATTAATAGCAGATTTTTAATTTAAATTGCATAATTAATAACGGAGTTTAATATAATTTTTATTATTCATAGCAGATTTCTATTTTTCTTTTTATAATTAATACCGTATTTTTAATTTAATTTTTTATTATTAATAGCTGATTTTTAATTTAATTTTATAATTAATACCGTATTTTTAATTTAATTTTTATAATTAATACCGTATTTTTAATTTAATTCTTATTATTAATAGCAGATTTTTAATTTAAATTGCATAATTAATAACAGTTTTAATATAATTTTTATTATTCTATTTCTATTTTTATTTTTATAATTAATACCGGGTTTTTAATTTAATTTTTTTATTATTAATAGCTGATTTTAATTTAATTTTTATAATTAATACCGTATTTTTAATTTAATTTTTATTATTAATAGCAGATTTTTAATTTAATTTTTTATAATTAATACCGTATTTTTAATTTAATTTTTTATTATTAATAGCAGATTTTTAATTTAATTTTTATAATTAATACCGTATTTTTAATTTAATTTTTATTATTCATAGCAGATTTTTAATTTAAATTGCATAATTAATAACAGAGTTTTAATATAATTTTTATTATTCATAGCAGATTTTTTATTTATAATTACTACCGGATTTTTAATTTAATTTTGATTGGATAAATATTTAGTAACAATGATGTAGGAATCAACACTTTCTAATCCTTTTTACAAATTATTTCTATCGCAAATACGAATAAAGTTATAATTTTTTAAAGTGCACACAATTTTTATGGACACCCTGTGTAATAAGAATATGATTGTTTGTGTATGTTTCTGTGTGTGTGCGTTTGTGTGTGTGCGTTTGTGTGTGTGTGTGTGTGTGTGTGTGCGTGTGAAAATAGAATGTGTGAGACAGTACAAAAGTCAAGAGAGAAAACCATGAAATGAACGTTTCGCAGTGGGGGGCAACTTTTCGCACGAACTACTACATCTTAAAGCCAGTGTTGAAAAGCTGCAGAAAGTGGCTAGGGAGATAAATGCACGCCTTTTTATAGGCTTAAGGAGCCTTTGCCGAATTTTGCCGGTTCTTTTAGGCAAAGTCAAGTGGGATATTATCACAGATAATAAAGAAAAGAATGATGTGGAGGGCCATGATCAGCTTCATTCTGAAAATGGTTTAAAAGGGTCTTGAACATTCTACTTTCATATGCGACTATATATTTATTTTGTTCTTTTACGTTTATCACTTCTTCACTGAAGCAAACTACCCAGATTTGTTTATTATTGTAAGAAAAATATGTGAATAAAATAAAATAACGGGTTACAAACATACATACATCTCAGGTGGATCAGAAAATGCATCGACTGGAATGTTGTTTGATTAGCAGTGTAGAAATCCATTTAGAAAAATTAAATAACTACTTCGGTACGGATCGCTTTATCCATTTAAAATATAACACGGTCACAACACGTTGAAACATCGGTTCCCGTACGATCATCGAAGTTAAGCAAAGTTGCGTTTGGTCAATACTTAGATGGGAGACCGCTTGAGAAAACCCGGTGCCGTAGGTTTATATGTGCGTGTTGTGTTATGGATAATGGTTCGGAATTGTTAATCAGAGAACCGAAATCCAATTTCCGTTGGGAAAGGTATAAATCCACTTCTTCTTCCCCAAACTATGAGTTAATTAGTAACGTTAAACGATTATTATCTCCCCCAAAAGTTATACGATCAAAAAATATTTTCTGGCTTTAAATAACATGCAAAGGGTTGATAAGCCGTAGAAAACGAATTAATCAAATCAAAATATTACATTTATTAAAAATATATATTCATTTTAAATCAGTCGGTTAGTTAAATGCCATGTCTTCGCCCTTACCTTCCAACACATTCACTAAAACATATGGTATAATCTTTCCACCGTCTTTTGATTCATGGCTGAAAATTCATAAGATTTTCCTGCAATAGGTGACTGTTTCTTTCTGCGGTAGACTGGTTGCCAACTAAGGCTATAGAACCCAATCTGTTCTGCTATTCAACCCATAGATGGTGGGGCAAAGTAGAGATGGATTCATATTTTTCCCAAGGGTGAATGTAACGAACCCGAATGTAACTTGAACTCGGGTCTTCAAATTTTCATTCTGAGGCGTTATCCATGGCACCACAAATGCGGAGTCATAAAAAGGGCTGCAACATATCGGTTTAGACCCTTTTCCTGTCCCCCAGCATTTTTTATCAGAAAGTAATAGAAATTAACCCTCGCAGCACAGATGTCCATTTTGCTTTCGTTCAAACGGTGTATGCATTTGAGTCTGCGCAGCTGCCAAACCTCAAGATATCTCTAAAATATTTAAAACTTCAAAAAATTCTCTTTATTATCGAATAATGTCTAAAATAAAATTTTATAATTACCTCTTTTTTAGGGTTTAAAAAAAATCACATTTTTTCCTTTTATTGTCTTTAATTTTATGAATTTTATCATTCAGCTTTGGGTAGGTATTGTTCAGACTGAGTTGGAAAGAAATCTATTTTTTTCAATGTCTTTTTAAAAACTTAATCAAATTGTGCATGATGGTTTGTGCGTGTACGTATCTTAAATGGCACAAACACATTTAAGTCACTCACGCACAACACAGACATATACATTATAAACGCAAAGTCGTACGCAAACACTGCGTGGCGGACAGAGAATCATTTCTTTTTTATTATAATATAATGATTTGAAACGGCGTTCAAGCGGACTTACGTTCATTAATCTTAGTCTGATACAAGGCTACAGGGCACTTACAGTACCTGATCTCCCTAAACAGTAACTCATCTAATTTGACTGATATGTTAGGGGATCAATAACAAAGCGGTATTTTCGGCATGACAGGACCGTTAGCGCCTGACATTTTAGCTAACGAATTAAAGATGGATGTCATCACTAAATAAAAATCAATGTTTACCGTACCACTAAAACATTGACAACAGAAGGTGACCTCGTTTGCAAACCTTCCCCGGCGTTTGTTTACGTATTACCTCATTGTTACTCAATGTTAAATCTCTCTCGCTCGAAGTTGACCTCGATGTGAATTTTACTTTCATCTCCTTGGCTCTGTGTCTTATGCATGACACTCGGGTAACAAATAAAAGGTTGGTTGGCTATTTTTGTTTAGCGGCATATCAACATCACTATGGGTTATTTAATGCCGAAATCTTTTGCACGCAATTTTATGATTTTAGTGATACAAGTCTTAAAATTAATCCATAGCTTGAGGGGAGAGAAGTGGTGGATTCATGCCGTTCTCAAGGGTATTTGTACGCAGGTGAATCTCCCCCCATCTATGGGTTAAATAGACTGGTTCCTATAGCCTTGGTTACAGCACCTGGTATTTCCAAGCGCTCACCCATCTATATATTGACGTTCGTTAACTTTGGTGATTGTACAGGAACTAGTGTTTCAACGTGATATAGCCATAAGCCTAAATAAAAAGGGAAGAATTGTGGTATAGTGGGGCTTTGAAAAAGAAATAAAGGAAATTTAATGACGAACACAGAGAGTTAATAAACGAGAGTATCAGAAAAACCGATAAGCAGGAAGGATCTTTTTTAAAAATGTTATGGTCCAGGTTAAGACCAAGGAAGAACAAGAACACAAGAGTATAAATAATGAAGGTATATTACACGAAATAATAATACAAGATGTGGAAGGTGTTAGTATGACTGTCAGTCTGGTTTGGAGTGAACTACCATCGGCTCGACTCGATTCGATATTTACTTGTAAGGAAAGATGTGCCACAAGGCCGATTTTTACGTGAGTTTTCCGAGCCTGTTGGCTCGGCCCAAAAATGTCCGTAGAACCCGTATAAACGGGATCGGCTTGGTCAACCTCCCCGAACGAGACTCGGCCCTTCGGCGGAGCCTCGTCCGGGTTCCTCTCTGCACAGAGGCAGAGAGTTCGACCGTCAAGCCGAGAAGCTCGGCTCGATTCGGTATCTAGCCCCCCCCCCCCACGAGGGTTGCATGTGGCACAAGGCCGAGTTTTACGTGGGTTTCCCGAGCCCGTAGGCTCGGCCAAAAAATGCCCGTATAACCCGTATAAACGAGATCGGGCTGGTCATTCTCCCCGAACGAGACTCTGCCCTTCGGCGGAACCTCGTCCGGGTTCCTTTCTGCTCAGAGACAGAAAGTTCGACCGTCAAGTCGAGAAGCTCGGCTCGATTCATCCCTCTCTCTTGAGAGGTGTAGTATACATAGTGTTAGGAAGAGTGCATTCTATAGTTATAGGTAAGGACCCATGACATAAAAAAGGGGGTCGATGACAAATGATTAAAAGCCAGTCTTTCAGGCTATTACAATACCTCAAAAAATAAAAATAAAATAAACGTCCATTAATACCATTAAGTAAAACGCTTTAAATTGAAAATATTTCTATCAAGTCTTGCTAGTTGTACAATATAAATAAATGTTCATCAATTCGTTTTCTTCTTCCGCCCTTAAACCCGGAAGGAATCGTTCGGGCGCCGACGTGCTGAGATGTTTACCATTCTCCTCCATCTGTCGCGGTCGTGTGCCAGAGCCTGGGTCTCCGCGAAAGGTTTCTTGGTGTACTCATCATGTGGCGTGTCTTGGGGATTTTAATCCGACGGATCCCATCCCTCTCCAGATTAGACCTCAGCCAATGTCGTTCGACTAGATGGCTCGTCATGTTCGCCAACACGTGGCCGTTGGAGTTCATCTGAGGAACCCTTCCGCCCTGGCCGCTGACCTTCGTCGAGGAGTTCCTTCGACCAGTGATGCCGTGTTAACACTACCCCCTCACACGAGTTTAACCCGCCAGCTGAAACAGTTTTACCGGGGCATTGAAACTTGGAGCCATCATGTGAGAGATTCAGATATAGCAGCAGTAGTCTATCTTTGGTTAGATCTGGCTTTTGCATAGATAGAGCATAATAAGAGTTGTCAGGTACTTTCTGGAGCAGTACAAGGTACAGACTAATTTTCCAGCAATGGATCCTATATATGACATCCATTTGAGCTAAAGTTCCTATATATGACATCCATTTGAGCTAAAGTTCCAATAATCATTCAAGCCAAGGGGTATCATTTTTGTTTTGTTTTCTAAGATTTTTAACAAACTTCCCTATTCTGTCAATAATTATGCTTGACACATCAGAAATATAGACATATTCGTCTTCTTCTTTCGCCCTTAACCTTTGAAGCAGACGTACTGAGCTGTCCACCATTCTCCTTCATCTGTTGTGTGCCAGAGCCTGGGTCTTCGCGAAAGGTGTGCTCATCATGTGGCGTGTCTTTGGGCGTTTTGACCTGGGGGAGCCGATCCCTCTCCAGGTTAGACCACAGCCTATTTCTTCCATTTGGCCGTTGTAGTTCATCTGAGGAACCCTTCCGCCCTGGCCAGTGACCTGCGTCGAAGGGGTCCTTCACTCAGTGGTGCCATATTAACACCACCCATCAACTGTTAACAAGTAAATAATATATATCTAATAACACCCCCCAAATATTTTAAAATGCGTCAATGAATTGGAAAATATTTCCATAAGGAAATTTTCCGCGTCTTCTTGACTCGTTTACTTCATAAACGGATGGGGTTTCAAATAAGCATCGAGGCATGGGGGAGATTACAAAACAAACGGGGAGGGAGGTTTATTTGGCACCCAAGAATAAGTTCTTTATTTTATTGAATTGATACTTATCGAATTAAGGTATTTGCAGCCTGACTAATAATATTTTAGTATCTCAGCCGCAAAACAAGTCCCCAGAAAAATGTTACTATTTTGTCTTTAAATGACATTATACTTCACTTTTCTACATTTGAAGACTCCATTATTTTATTTTTGTTTGTCTTCAAGACATAGGCGATCATGATTCTTCATATATTCGATTTCATTATTATCTGTGAATCACCACGACTTCTTTGGTAAGTATTGTAACCTGGAGAAGGTTACTGAATAGAATAATCAATCGAAGGTTGGTAATGAACGATAATACTTAGGACAAGAACAACTCATGAAATGTGCTCCTGTACTGGCTCCTGTCCTCTCCAAACTATACAACTACTTCTTCAACGACTTCTGCTTTCCATCCTGTTGGAAGTCTTCGAAGCTTTAATCAACGCCGAAGTGGTTAAGCACCTTACATCCCATGATCTGCTCTCTGACAAGCAATATTGTTTCCGCTTTGCCCGTTCTACAGCTGATGTGCTCACGGACATAACTGAATTTGTTTACCAAGCACTTCACAATAACGGAGAAGCTCGTGCCGTGGCTCTAAATATCTATAAAGCGTTTGATAGAGTTTGGCATGCCGGTCTCCTTCGCAAGCTTCAGGGATACGGTATTTCAGGACAATTATTTGACTTAATACAATCATTCCTGTCAAACGGTGTAATGAAAGTCGTCCTTAACGGATTCTCCTCCAGTTCCGTTCTCACAAACGCAGGTGTTCCCTAAGGCTCTACCCTGGGCCCTACACTGTTCCTTATCTTAATTAACGATCTTCCCGATGTCATCAGTTTCCAAGAAGGTATCTATGCAGACGACACCACTATTTACTTCTGCCTAAA